ACAGCCAGTTTAACAGCCAAGAACAGCCAATATTTTTATTATTGATAAAATAATAATCCAAGTCCACTCTTAAGCATTAACTACAATTATTTTATTAAAGATTTTGGAAATTCGAAATTTATTAAGAATTGCAATTACAGGCTACAAGTACAAGAAGCAATTATAGAACATAATAATCTAGAATTTAATTGTTGTGTTGAATTTAAGTTTTATTTGAATTTTAATTTCAAATATTTAATTGCTAACGATTGGGTATAGTATATAACTTAGTGATTTTTAAGATTTATTTAAGCCAAACATTTTATTCCAACCCATCTTATCAGATTTACTAGATCATTATACAAGATATTATTGAAAATGAGATCAAAAGTTACTCGCTAGCATAAAAGATTTCCTAATTAAATATTAACTAATTTCCTTAATTTTTCAGTTGGTTACAATAAATTAATTTTTAATGCAAACATATTATATCATATATACAAACAAATTATAGAGCAATACTTACATGTGCGTTTATGTAAAAGTGCTGACAAATTAATTAAATTATTATTGATTTTTTATATTACACGTTTTAAAAAATTATTTTTATTATTATAATTTTTCATAAATCAAGTTCAATATCATGTAAGTATTGAGGTCAAGAAAAAACTGACTATATAAAAGTTTGTAATCAGTTACAAAAAATTATTAGTTCTTATCCTTAACTACTTGCATTAAGTTAAACCAAAAAAAAAAAAAATTCATCATGAAATTCTTCGCTTGTTTAGTATTCGCTGTTGTGTTCGCTGTCGTTTACGCTGTACCAGCACCAGAAGAATATTCTCAAGAAAAAAGATCACTTAAACTAGGACCAGCATTACCATGCCCAGCAAAATCTCTTAGATCAATACTTGTAAGTTGTGGACCAATTGTACAAAAAGTACCATGCAAAGGTGCACCTTCCCTTAAAGGAGCATACTCTGAAAATGTACCACAATATCTTCCATATTCAGGATATTATGATGAAAGTGAAGATTATGGATACTAAAAAATATTTTTAAGAATATTTGTTTAAAAAACTAAAAAATTGGTATTATAAAAAAAAATGTGTATTTTAAGGATTTGTTTTAATTTTAAGGAAATTAAGAAATAAATGAAAAATAATAAAAAATTTAATAAATAAAAAAAAGCTTTAATTGCCTTTTCAATTTTAAAAATCCATAAAATTAACCCACTTTTTCCAAGTATAGCTATATAAACTAAGATTTCAAAGTAATATCAGTCAAAATATTTATATCTACTTGATTAACTCTTAAAGAATGACAAAAACAGAGGTGTTGAACTTTGTGGATTGCTATTGAAAACCTACTTCCGACGGTAATTTTTAAAACAATGCTAAAACTTTAATTTTTCTTACCACATTATGTTAACATAAACTTTCCGTTCGTAAATATTAGAGAAGTTTATAAATATTAAATAATACGTCTGTATAGTAATCATTTTAAAACTTGAAAACCACGGTAACTAAAAAATTGAGAATATTTTCCAAAGTATTCTTTAATTTGGTTTGCATAACATTATTTCTGCAATTTGCGTGAATGATTATACCCGTACGAAACGATTTATTGAATGACATTATTAATTTAACAATCTTTTAGTAAAGCTTTAGAGTAACAGTCTCAGATATAAGTGCAAGTATGTTTTAAGTATGTTAAGTAATTCTGTCTGCCTGTACGTCTTTCCGTCTAGTGACAAATTAAAGAGGATTTTAGCTGGATGAACCCTATTCAGTTTGGGTCCTATGAATGCAGTGGTTACCATACAACTTTTAAAAATGGGTGAAGAAAGCTACTGAATGATAATTAAATTTATTTTTGTTTTGTTGAAATCTTGTGTTCTGGCCAATGAAACTATACAATCAATTAAAATTCACTTATTATTAATTACAATAAAAAATATTTATTAGCTACGAAATAAAGCCCAATTCAAAGTTAAAATTACTTTCCAAATTCGGATAATAAAGACCAAAAGAAACCACTTTCATTACAGAATGAAAAAAAAATCTTAAATTCAGATAGTTTCAAACATGAATTCAAATTAACTCATTAAGAGAATGAGATTTATTGAATTGTCAAAAAACCTTTAATACTCTCATATTTTTTTATAACTCAATGGAAATCGTATATCTTATTACTCCTTAGGTTGAGTCACATTTAAGTAACTCTAGTTTATGCACATGAAATTACAATTAATGTGTCGAATTTCAAATTGAACCTCTAAATTATGGTTTAATTAAAAAAAAATTCCATTTCAATTATTTATGCTTTAAAGAATTATCATGAGAAATAAGACACTACACTAATAAGCTATACTGACTCCTTTCACATCATACTAAGAATACAGCAAAACACGAGCAATTCACTAAATTCTATTTTAACCCCTTAATCTTTAGGCACAATTTATTTAATTGAGTATATTATTATAACCTGTAAAGTATGTCTAATTATTTCTAAATATAAAAGAAAAACAAAATAATTACTATTATGACTATTTATATTTATTTATTTATTTATTTTTTTGCACTAGCCCATTATAATATAATAAGGAACAGGAATTATTTATATAACGTGTATGAAAAAACAAAAACAATTAATTTTTTTTTTTATATTATATTAAATTCAATATTGATCTATTTTTTTGGTTGGTCCTTTAGGTGGTGCTGGTGGTGCTTTTGGTGGTGCTTTATGTGTTGAACCTAAATATGCATCAGCAGAAGCTCCATAGCCACCATGACCACCATATCCGCTTTTACATGGAACTTTTTGTACAATTGGTGCACAACTAACTAATACACTTTTACAGCTTGGTCCAGCATGATGTGATAAACCAGCATGACCACCATATGAACGTCCCCATCTATTATATTCTTCAGGTTCTTCATTATAATAATAAGCGCTTGTTAAAGCAAATATACTTAATAAAGCAATGAAAATTTTCATTATATTTTTTTTTTTCGATTTCGTATATTCTAACTACTCAATAATATAAAAATCTAGAATTGGATCAATTAATTTTAACTGATAATTGTAAACTGATATTTAAATATTTAAATTGGGTCGGTTATATATGTTACAATTAAAGTTTATGATCAGCAAAATTTTTTATTTAATATTAAAATTAAATTAATTCATATTTTTTTTCTACTTTATTTTTAGGATATTTGATTCCTTATTTTTTTAATATTTTTTCTTTTCAATTTTTTGTTTTTAACAAAATTGTAGGAGGATTTTAACCTTGGTATTCAATTACTCAATTTCGAAATGATCTTCAATTTTTTTATAATAAAAATGTAGTTGAAGTAAAAATTAATATAACGCCAACGCACGCGATGGCATCTTGTTTCAAACTTTTGTTTTTTTTTTTGTTAATGTTGTTTTTGCTGATGTTGTTTTGTATTGTTGTATATATGTAAATTTTGTAATTAATTAAAATGCTATAACAAATGTAAATTTTATTAAATTAGCTTGTATTCAAATCAATTAAATTATATAAAAGGTACAGTCTGCAAATCAATTTAAAAAGTAATTTGATATTCAATAAATTGGTTTTCCGAATTCTAAGTTATATACATGACAATATATTATACGTATGACTGTTATACATACGAGTATGACAAATCATAATTAGAAAATTTGAATACAATATTAAATTCTTACAGCAAATGTCTTTGACTTGACGATAATCAGCGTATTACAAAGATTTCCGCTTTAAGAGTATTAGAATAGAAATTTTAAGTTACCATGTGCAGTCACGACTGATTATAAGATGAACTTAGTTATACTATGCACTAATTCTCTTTTGAATAAATCTATTTTCTTTGACATCTTATTATTGCAGTATCTCCCTATTATACACCGTGTATATTAAAAAAAATTCGTACGTGTTCTTACTACCATTATGACCTTATAGTTGCTATATATAGTGTTCTTTTATAATATCAGAATGCTTAGATACTAATAAATTAATAATTACATAACAAGCACTTAATGATTCTTTTAATACTCAGGTTAATTGTTCACATTTCAAAAGTTTATATTGCTATTAATTGCACCTAAATCACATTAATTTTGCTATAGAAGATTATTTTAAGTACCACTGGGTTATTTTTGTATTTTGTCAAATTTGAAAAGAAATTTAGGATTATTAAAGTAAAAACATATTTGTATAGCTTTAGAACAATTTTGTAGATTTAAGAGAAAGTTTATTATGTTATGGTCTCGCCAATTTAAATTTCCTGCGAAAATTAATGAACTCAAATAAAATAAAATTTTAAGTGTTCTAGTTAGACTAGAGATTTTCGAAAATTCAGTTTACTGTCTATATATAAATCAATTAAATTTCTTAGGTATGAAATAGCAAATGGTTGTATTAAAGAAGTATTTGTGGTGTAGCCACAAAATTAATTGTTAAAAAATTTTTAAGAAAATGATTGAATTCGGGAAAATTTTCTTAAATATCCTAAAATAAATTTAAATTTTAATATTTATTCACAAAACACATAAATTATTTAAATAAAATGTTCATTTTATACATAAATTAATTATGAGGATATTCAGGCATGTAATAGGAATTGAACTTCAAAAGAAAATTTTCTAAAATCATTGAAAATTACTTTACATTGCAATATAGACCATTTCGCAAAAAAAATGTAGTTCAATGACTTCTTAAACGATTTCAAATAATATCCTTTTTAATTACTACAAATTTGTTTTATAAAATGCTTAAACAGCACGTTGCCCAATTAAAAAACTTGATAATTTTTTAAGAAGGAAGAAAAACATTTACTTAATAAAATTGCAATTGTTGCACTTCCTTTTTTCTTTTTGTTTTTCAAAATTTCCCTTGAAATTTAACACTTTTATAAATAATGTATTGATTTAATAATATCAGTGGTGTGCGTATATAAACTGTGAATTTCATATACTCACTTATCAGTTATCAACTGTTAGAAATCAAAGGAACATATCCGTAAAAAAAAATCTAACAAAACATTTTTTTTTGAAGAGTTTAACTTTAAAATTTTAACTAAAAATGAAATCATTCGTTGCTATCATTGCTATTGCATTAACAATTGTTGCTGTTAGCGGCTCAGCTTATGGACCAGCTGGATTAAAAGGAGGACCACCATGTCAAAAAAGTGTTCTTGTTAGTTGTGCACCATTAGTACAAAGTGTTCCATGTAAACCTGGTGCTGGTGCTGCTCATGTTGGTGGTGCTTATTCTGAACCACTTCCACAATATGCTGCTCCATATGCCGCTCCATATTCTGCTTCAGTTGACGAAATGGCAGTACCAGAAGATATGGCTGTACCAGCTGCATCTGAATATGTTCCAAAATATGCTGTACCAAATTATACACCATACTATAGATATTATTAAAATATTATAGTCAGGGAGTTGTTGTAAATTAAGGTACACAAAAAATAAAAAAACAAAAAGAAAAATAATTATATAAAATAAGTATATAGAAAAAAAAAATATGTATAGAAATTCTTAGTAAGTAAATGTGTATGTTGCCCAGTAATATTATAATAAAAATTTTATAAACAAAAAATGTTTGAATTTTTAGATTTTTAATAATTATTCTTTTGAAATTATCCCTTGAGAATTAAAGGCTTTTAAGGAAATTTAAGTAAGACACTTTCAAAACTCTTAATTTTATAACAAATTTTTTGGTTTCCTGATGTGCTCTTAAATATATTCGTGACCAATCGATGACTATTCAAGGTTGTTATTTTAATGCAATCAAAATTTTGAGGAATTTCTCTAAGTAGAGTTGTGAAACATATTGAAATAAAAAGCACAAAGTTTTGGGATTAAGCAATATTAATTAGTAATGTTCATATGTGATACTCCATGCAGCTTGCACTGCCATACTTATCTTAACATAGTTATCTTATATTACTTAGTTTCTGATCTAACGGTAACAGACATTCAATTGTATAGCGTAAACACCGTTTTGCGCCATTTCATCAGGTTATGAATTAAATTATGCTCGAATTTTATTAATTTCGTCAGGTGAATAATGTTATCAATATTTAGTATACGATTTGCAGTAAGAAATTTATAATAATTTTTTGAATTTTTAACGCCTTACGATGATACGACTATAAACCGAAATTCAATTCCTAAATACGAATAAGTTTCACGTTATTTTCATGGCAATTGCATTCATAACACGAAATCAGGAAATATAAATTCTTTTTAAGCCAAAATTTTCAACAACCTCTATCATAACATACAAAGTGTGTGAACAAACTCTATCATACGAAATTTTTGATTTGCAAGTTTAACATGAGGATTGAATGTTGTATGTCATACAAAACGTGTAAAAGTCGTTTTACGTGTACAATTTGAAATGCATTTGAAAATTACTAATTTGTATTTTATTTTCTGTAGTTCTTAGCGTAAATTCTCAGTATATACACGAACTAATTTTTTTGTAAAATAGTGTTGTGTGTTGTGGAGGTCAGACCTGTATTTAGATTTCTTAAAAGTTTGTTAATAGTATGACTATAAAAAAATTTAATTGTGAATTAAAAGAAGTTTGGAGAATCTTAAAACTTGGGATAATTTGTAACATTGTTTTCAAGTAAATATTGTTAGTTTATCTACATATAAAATCCTTTTCAAAATCTGAAGTAAGTTGAAGGGTAATAAATTGGCATAAACACAATTTAATTTAAAAAATAGCATACATAAATAATTAATTAATAGCATAAATGGTTAATTTAAGAAAACGAAAGTGAAAAAATTTGTGTATTAAATTTCTTAAGGTATTTCGTTTCAAGTGAAAGCTAACTAGTTTTTTTTTATGTATAAAATTTTTTTAATTATAAAATGTCAAATCTATCGAAGATAAAAACCATAGATAATAAATTTTTGAGCCTGAATTTATGCAATATGTGCCAGAAAATTTTTATATGAAAATTTTACTACAAGAACGAAGCATACTATATGAATTTATATTCAGACGACTTTAGCTTGTTAAAAAACCATGTGAAGTTGAGCAAATATTTTAAAATTTTCATTATTAAAAATTAAAATCAAAAAATCTTTTACTATTCGCACATAATTTTATTTCTAGTTGATAGTCCTTTAATTTAAGTCCCTTTAATTTTTAACGGAATCCAAAGGCATGAGATTATTTTTAAATATTTCTCGAAATTATAATCAAAATTTTTAATATTTAACAAAAAAAATAGTAATGTCTTCTCTGTGTAGAATTTTTAAGGTTATAATAATCAATAAAATATTTTTGACCATGTGAGGCATATAAGGTTGCTATAGAATTTCAAACTCATTGACTGCAATTTTATAAAAAATTTTGCAAATACACAGATAACAAATTTTATTTAAATATTTTTTTTTCTATATTATATTTCAAAGATTCAAATTATAATTGTGTAGCTATTATATTTTAAGCACTTGCCGGTAAAAGAAATCAGAAACTCAAATAAGTAGCAAGTGAAAAATAAGAAATTTATAAACAAAATTTTTATTATTGACCGACTAAAAATCTCAAATTATAAATAATAATTTGAAAAACACAATTATAATAAAGTCTGGAAGTTATTCTCATGTTTCATTAAAGACAAAAAAAAATTCGAATAAAATGCTATTCAAATTGAAACAGGAATATTGAAAACGGATCTTTTTCAAAAAAAAAAACCTTAAACTTAAGCTTTTTCCTATAAAAAAAAATTTCTTTTCCAATTCAAATATATAAAAACCATTGGAATAGATTTCGAAATTATCAGTTTAAACGAAATAATCGAGGAGTCTAATATAAAAATTAAATTAAATTGAATTTAATTTAAAAAATAAAAAATTTTTATTAATTTTAAATTTTGTAAATTTTTTGCTTTAAAATGAAATTTTTTATTGTTGCTGTTGCCGTTTTTTTAATTTTTGCTGCTGTTAAATCATCAGCTGCACCATATGTACCTGCAGCACCATTAGCAGCATTAGGAAAATTAGGTGGTGCTGGACCACCATGTCCTAAAAGTGTTGTTGTCGGTTGTGCTCCATTAGTACAAAGTGTACCATGTAAAGGTGGTAGTGGCCTCAGTGGTCATATTGGCGCTTATTCTGAAAGTTATCCACAATATGCTCCACAACCAGCTGCTAGTGCACCAATGGATTTAATGGCAACATCAGAATCAGCATATGTACCACAATATTATGTACCACAACAATATTATGTTCCACAATATTAAAAATAATCGAGAAAAATATTGTAATAAATAAGAAGAACAAAATGAATGCAGTGAGTCAATAATATTATTGGAATTTAAAAATAAGAGCTAGCCAGAATTCGAATTCAATTTTATATTTGTACGGAAATATTATATTATGTTATACTAGATAGAATAGAATTATAATTAAAATTAAAAAATATAGTTTATAAAAAACGGAAAGAAAATAATGATTTGTAGTTTAAAAATGGTGTAAATAAAAATTTTAACAAAAATTAAAAAAAAAAATATATTGTTTTTTAACATTTTGTAGAAGATTTCAGCCTTTTAATTTTTAAAGGTCGTAGGTTACATCATGGAGTTTACTTTTACTTGGATTTTACATTTAAAACAAATCTCGAGAAAATCGAGGTCGAGACAGTCTTTGTATACTGAAAGTGTAAGTTATTCTTAGAATTTGAGGAATTAAATGATTTAAAAAAATTTTGTGAGAATTATTAATAGCTAAAATTCAAATTGCAATGAGTTATAGTTTTTAATTGGTTTCAATCATATAGGTCATCTAAAAATACTCATAATTAATATCTCTTGACCAACAGGTTTTGAAGATTTAAAGTAAGAATTTAAAGCCCAAATTATAAAATTTTAAATAATTATCTACGCTTTTATATATTTCAACCATGTGATGTAAGATGATGTAATAATTTTAATACAACACATATGAATAAAAATTTTTCTAACAATAATAATGATCATAAAAATTAATAAATTCAAAATTTAAAAATTTTTAATGGTTCGGGGAATCAATTGGCAAAATATATCGGGACCAGTTTCCAATTTTCTATTTGGTTGTATTATACAAGTGTATCTAGTCATGCAGTGTTTATTTGAAATATCAAAATTATCAATAATACGAGGGATAGCATTAATATAAAAATTAAGTGCATAAATTAATTTTGAGGTGTATTTTATGTGATTTATTAAAAATTAAATTAAATAATAAAAAATTTATATAACAGAAAGGCAAGAAAATAAATTATAATTTATGGTACTTCATTAAGAACGAAGGAAAGATAATTTACACGCTATTACAAATTATATATTAAGTCATTCCATATTTCATTCAAATATCTATTTTGATTAAGAAGAACTTTAAATTTTCAATAACCCATTTCGATACAACTGATCTTTCAAATTAAATTCAAATTAATACAAATTTTTGGTTAATCTACTAAAATTATTGCCTACAACAAAATTAAGTAGATTTCTATGGTTGAAAATGTGATAATTTTAGATTAAAATCTTTCCCATTACTTTATTACAGAGGCTAGAGAATAAAATGTAAATTTTATTTCATATTTTTTTCAATTAAAAATGTAAATTATTAATAATTAATTAAAATTATTACAAAAACCCATACACTCACATTTTGCTTTGTAATTAAAACTTTTTCTTATTTTATTCATTAAATTTTAAACAGCATAGTAAAAATATGAAGGACATATTGGGATTTTGTTTTAATATTGCGTTAGTGAGAACGGTATAAAAGTTATAAACCTACTATTGAATATGTTTAGTAAGCCGTAAGAATATTAAGAATTTTAAAGGGCCAAAATTCATCTTAATTGTTTTATACACCAGACTTTAGGTATATTTTTTTGGGAAAATATCTTTGCGAAAAAATAATAATTTCATAGTTAAATTGTTTGTATAAGAACTCAAAAAGTACCTTAGAAATATGAAAAAATTTCTGAGTTCAAACTCTTATATACGGAAAATTACACTTTTAATATTAAAATTGTGTTTGAACCAAACAATAAAATTTTTGTTTGATTTTGTTTGACTTTAACTGATCTTAATTTCTTACAACTTTCTTCAACTTTGGTTCGTATTTTAATTAAGAATGCTGAAAATTTTCAAAATAATTTAAAATTTAAAATAAAAATAATTAAATTTTCAATTTGAAAAAAATCATTTATTTTCTAATCATTCACTTTTTTTTTCTTCATGTTTTTCTTATTAGTGCAGCACAATACAAAAACAAAATTATTGCTTAATTTTACATCTAACTTAATTAATATTTTGTATGCTATTTATTTATATAAATTGAAATTCGTAACTAAATTTTTTATTGGTATGTACCATATGGTGAATATTGTGCATATTGTTGCGGTTGACTGGCAGCATATTGATTATCAACTGGTGAAGCATATTGTGGTGTATTTTCAGTGTAAGCACCATGTGAAGCTACACCATAACCTAAACCACTACCACCACCGGCACATGGAACTGCTCTTACTGATGGTGCACAACTAACCAGTATACTTTTAGGGCATGGTGGTGCAAGTCCTGGTGAACCATATGAAAGTGCTGCTGCTGCAACTGGAGCCGGTGCAGGTGCATATGATGATGCTTCAATATTAGCAATAACAAATACAAGAGCAACAAATATTATAGATTTCATTTTGGATTTAATTAAAAAAAATGTTTTTTTTTTTTTTTTGTAGTAAATTTTTTACTCGTTAAGTAAAAATTTTTTAATTTTTTTAAATTCAAAATGATGAATTTATATGCACCGCTTTTTAACGACTGATAATTTTCGATTTTATTGAGTAAGTTTTTATATAAAAAATGATTTTAAAAAATATCAAATGTAAAAAACTTGGATTTGATGTTGATTGTATTATCAAGGAGTTTTGTTGTTATTTAATATTTAAAAAAAAAATTCAAATAATACTCACATTTCATTGAAATAAAACAATACAAAAAAGTTGAAAATAGCGTAAAAATAAAGGAAAATTGAGAAGTTGAAACAGGAGTAAAGCAACTTGTTCCTGTATACTATAGGAATGCGTTTTCTCAAATTTAAAAAAAAAATATTTTACAGGATTATTTCGTGTCATTTCATGTGAATATTATCACAAAATAGGATGAATTTTTGAATCTATTTAAAGCGGCACAGCTTGTAAATTAAGATAACCTTGCTTGGAACTGAATTTTGAATTAAATTTGAAATTTATGAATGGAAAAGAAAATATTTTCTTGAATATTCTCAAAAATCAATGAAGATCCAACATTCTTAATTCAAAATTTTAATATGAATTCTAAAAACACAGACAGAAATTCAATTTCTTACATTAAATATCGGAAATAAATTTCATAATACCATTTTGTTTTCCCTCAAATCCCTTATTTCGCTTTAGTCAAAAAAAAAAAAAAACAATTAAGTTGTGATTTTGCAATCGTACAGGATTTTATTTTTCAAAAATAAAATAAGAAATTTAATATTTTTCTTTAAAATAAATAAAAAATATAAAATAAATTTCATATATCGATGACTTTATGTAATTTTAGAATTTTCAAGAAACTTTCTTCCGCTCAATTAATTTTTGCAAATTAAAACCGTAAAGAAAGAAAGAAAGTCAAATTAAAATTTTATAAATTTTTTTTTATTTTCTTTGGCATGTGTGTGTGTTTTTTTTTTCGCATAATTTATGAGAAATTTCATAAAATAAAGAAATATTTGAAGGAAGAACGTTTCATTTTTCATGAAAATATTGAGGGGGTTACCAACCAAGCGATTAATATTTAAAAAAAAAAAAATTATCCTTTAAAATTTGCTTTGTTGCTAAAAAGTGTTGATTGAAACATGAATAAAATTTTTTATATTATGATGAGGCATGGGTACAGAATTTTTCACATAACATAATATTCGCTAAGATAACATAATATTCGCTAAGTAGCTGAAATTTTTTTAATTTTCTTAAAAATTCAATATATTTAATATGACTGTGTTTCAATTAAGCTTGTTGAGAAAATCAATTTTACTTTTAAAATTAATTGATGTATACGAGATTTCAGATATATGTATGGGCGCATTGCATTATGAACAGGTACATGTATATTAGGAATAAACTGAAGAAATAATATTCTTGCATGTAACAGATTTTTGAATTCTGTTAATAATTCTGTAATAAAATATTTAATTATTCTCTTATTTTGCGGTTAAATAATATCGCATTGAAATGAGAGTAAATCAATTTTAGAGAAAATAGAATTTTACAACACAATGTTTGTTGTAGTGTCGCTAATATTATCATGTAGTAGACAAAGTAGGAGCATCATATTGTTTGGAGGAATTTTTTTATAATATTTCATGTGACTAATCAAATTCAGTAAATTAATGAATACAAATAGCTATCCCCAATACGTTGGTTATTTTCACTGAGTTAGTTTAGAAATTTTTGTACTTTAATAAGAAATCATTTCGCACAATGAAATTAGAAATTACTAAATTGTAGCTTGTTATGTATTTTGTGCCGAAACCGAAATTGACTGGGTTGAGTTGGTTAAAATTTTCCAATTTAAATTTGAAATAACTCAATACTAGTACAATAATGCAGTATAGACTAAATTACTAAACTACTAAATTTTAAGAAAATCACTAAATTGAAGAGCCGAGCTGTAATTTTTAAATTAAAAGTGGTAATATTAAGAGCAAATATCGAATTTCGTCTAAAAAAATTCTTTCGAATTTTTCTAAAAAATTGTAATTGCAATCACTTATATAATTTTTATATTTTATTTTATAAATTGTAACAAAAACATCACATATTATAATATATATATTGATAATAAATATTTTAATTATAAAAAATATAATTTAAAAAATTTTATATATAAAGTATAAATATAGATTAATTTAATGGTAAATCGTGTAATTGATTATTGGCTACACTTCTAATATATGTTTCTTCTCTTTCCGGTTGCTTCTTATAAGATTCTTCACATGTATTTATATATTTATATATTGGCATACATCCGACAACAATTTTCTTTATACATGACAGTTCATCTGTTTTACTATAATCATCATGTGAATCATGAATTGGTTCTGGTTCTTCATGATGATGTTGTGATGGTGTATGATAAGGTTCTGGTTCTGGTTCTGGTTCATATATTTGCTGTGGTTCTTCATGAATTGGTTCATGATAAACTGGTTCTAATTCAGGTTGTGGTTCTGGTTCATATAATGGTTGTGGTTCTTCTTCATGATAAATTGGTTCAAGTTCTTTATAAACTTGTACGGGAGCTTCATAAACTGGTTCAGATTTATGTTTTACATCATGAGCTTTATGTGTTTGTATATGTTGATCATATAATTTTTTGCCTTTTTCTGTATCACATTTTACTACATATTTTGGTAATGGTGATGGTTCAGCTAAATGTGGTTCATATTTTGGTGTAAATTTTGGTTTTTTAAGTGGATGAAAACCAGGTGAATGTAAATCACCATTATGTACTGGTGGATGAGGCCATTGATTTTTTAATGGTTTTTGATGTTGATGTGATTGTTTAATTCCGGAATGAAGCATTGGTTGATGATGAATTTGATGTTGATGAATTTGATGTCCATAATTTATTGGTTGATTTAATACATCTGCTCCACATGTTTCATGGTTTGAAACATGCATTATTGGATTATATTGTGAAGCTCCATATCTAAATTTTTGAAATGGAAAATTATAACCAAACGCTAAACCAGATAGGTTGACTAGAAGAAAAAAATAAATGAACGCGTACATTATATTTGGTTTTAATAAAAATTATCTACTAAACGGCTAGACATTGCGTTAGGTGAATTTATAAGTTTATTTGCTTTTTCTAAAAAGAAACACAAACAATAAAATTTTCATTCAAAAATTTAATTTTCTATTGAAAAAAAGAAAAAAATTCTTGACGTCTGCATTATTTTATAACTATTTTTTCATGCCGGTCAAGGTTAATAAAATTTTTAAATTTTCAAGTTTATTTACAAACAAAAATTATATAAAATTTTATAAATTTAAAGGTCATCTAAGGCGTTCACTTGGGACATTTTTTTCTGTATCAAAAATTTTTATTTTATTAATTTAATTATGCGCAATGATTTATAATTAAATTTTATTTGACTTGGTGTGATAACTAGATTACCCTCAGTATTTAAGGAATATGTGGATATTTTGATTAGATTCTATTACCACGCCTAGCTAACGCTTGATGGTAAATATAAGGCCAGAAATAAACCTTTTCTCTCCGGATTTCTTTAAATTTCTCAAATATTTTGAACTATTTTCAAAATGAGTTAAAAAACAATTATGCCCGGTCTGGTTTTTTATGAGTTAAAAACCAAGTATGTTTTGGTTTCTTTCAATCATCGTGTGAATTTTAAAGTGTGACAAGAGTTGAGAATATTAAGTATCATATCTGCTACATTTTGTAATTTTTGTTAACACTTTAAATTTTTATTACAATGATTATTTTACAATATATTTAAATTTTTTGTTTCTTTTAAATTTTTCGCAAATATCAGCAAGATGAGATTTTTGTTTTCCTTAAGTAATTTTTTATAATAATTATGAAATAAATAATAAAATTATATGTAAATAAAAGTTAAGGTAAATTACAAGTTTAAGGTAAATTACATGAAGAACTCATTAGTCATATTATTTGAGTTTTTTTAACTAAGGTTTATGAAAATTAATTATTAATTTATTTTAATTAAAATACTAAAATACATTGTTGTACGTCAATTAAACGCTTAAAAAAATTTTTAAATTCCTCTGTATGAAATTTAAAATTGCAGAGAATCCATCCTGCTCTATACATTTAAAATGTTTCCCAAATTTAATTGTAATTAGTACCATAGATTTTGTGTTCATTTTACAAGTATAGCGACGTAAGATGGAATATTGTTACATAGTTTAAATTTGAATCGGTTTAGAAAAATATTGCTGAATTCAGCTTAAATTTTCAAAATGCGATTTGTTATTTTCGCTAATTAAAACTTATAACAATAATAAAATTGAAATAAGCGCCGTCTGGTTGCTACGTTTACTTTAGATAAACAAATTTAATTCTGTAAATAACATTATTATAGGACTATAAAATTTGCTATATTTTCTGAATTCCATAGCACGGAAATGAAGTTTTAGTACAATAAAATCAAATGTTAAAATAGTAAAAATAAAAAAGCTAATGTTACTAACCTTTTGGTTTTTCTAATTCGTTTGGAAACATTATACTTGAATCTGAAATGAAGAAATAAATAAGATAATGAGAAAACATACTTTAACATTAAAATTTCATAATATGTTCTAAAAGGATCAACTTTCATATGGGCAGACACACGCAAAAAAAAAAAATAAAACCAGGTCTTAAACATTTCGTAATAATTTTGATTTTTTTTTTGTTAAAAATGAAATGGAACACTTATCAAGTTATAAGTGATTTAACGAATGTATTATGAATCTAATTATTTGATGGTGGATTATTCCATTAAGTAGTTTAACATAAATGCTCTTACTAATAATAGGATACAATGATTATAATTGCCGCCAGACTAGTACTGTGAACATTTATATTTAGACGAAATTCGAATTTTAATTATTTATGGTTTCCAAGAGAATAAAATGATTTTTCAATTTAGAACAGAAAAATTTCCGACTCCTCAATAGCAAATGTAACAATAACACTAAGATCAAATGTTGCAGCAATGTTCAAAACCATCCGATATTTGATATTATGAACGTAAATAATAAATTGACATAAGAGTTTCGTTTAAATAACAAATCAATTCCAGTAATTTGAAACTTTTATTTTTTAAAATTAAAATAAAAGAAGGAAAATATTAATTTAAATTTTGTTATTTGATTATTATTTCCTGTATTATGAAAATATAATTTATGTGATATTAAATTTTATTGTTAGTTTGTTGCGGAAACCCATGATTTATGTGTCGCGGTTTTAAAGTATTTAAATTTAAAATCTTTTCGATATAGATATGAAATTCTTGTTAATAACTTTTATTTGTCTAATTGCTCTCAATTTAATAGTAGCTGAAAAATTGCTTTTAGATATAGATAAAGCTATTCAAGATGAGCATGAAGAAGCACAAAGTCAAAAATCAAGTATTTCAACTTTAGTTGATAATATAGCTAAAGAATCAAAATTGCATGATAAAATCGATGAAAATGATGATGATATTGATCGTCAGAAAAAATCATATGGAAATTTAAAAAATCATGGAGATCCAGTTCCTTTAAAAGTTAATCCAAATGATCATGTTCCACAAAAACCAACAAATTATGGTGAACAACAAAATTTGGGATATGGTGAAGGAAAACCATTAAAATTAGGATTAAAAGAACCATCAATATCACAATTGGATTATGGTGAACAAATACCTTTACTACCAAACTATGGTGAGCATTTAATTCCACAACCATATAAACCACCTACCCCAACACAAAAATATAAACCTGCACAGGTACATAAAAATCTTAATTTATATCAACCGCAATCATATCAATCATATTCACCATCCGATTATGGATATGATCAACCATTAAATTTATATGATAGTCCTCAACTTTTATATGACCAGCCACACTCTCAAACGTACTATCCACATAAAACAGGATATAATCCAACAAAGTATGCTCCACCTAAACAAGTGGAATATGGATCAGTAAAGCCACAATATTCACCAGTTAAACCAGATTATTCCCCAGATCAATATGCACCAGCAAAACCACAATATGCTCCCGTCAAAACAGAATATGGTCAACATTATTCAGGTTATGCACAATCATCACCTGGATATGCACCAGCTAAACCATATGGTCAATCTAAACCATCATATCCATCTCATAATTACGGATATACACAAACAAAACCGACATATGGTTTAAGTAAACCGGCATATAGTGATCCATATTCAGGATATAATCAACCACAAACATTATATGGTGGATCATATCAATCTCCGTATAGTTCACATCAATCTCAATATGGTACACATCAATCTCAATATGGTTCAACTCATTCAGATTATAGTAGAATTCAATCACCGTATAATCAAGCACAACCATTAGCATATGCTTCTCATAATGTTGAAGTATACAGTCATCCCGGTGAATCATCAAATAATTTACAAACTGCTAATGTTGGTTGTACACCAGTTGTTGAAGTAAAACAATGTCAAGCTGGTACTGGCGGTTATGGTTCTGGTTATAGTGTTGGCGGTTATGGTTATGGTGGAAGTTATTAAAAATTTTAAATTTAATATTATAGAAATTTGTTATTGAATTATTTTATGTTTGTAGTGAAAATTATTAAGTTAGACTAAGAATTTTTTTTTTTTTTGAAATAAAAGTGATAACAGAAAAGAATTAATATAAAAGAAAATTAAAGGCTTATTTTTAAAAAATGGTGTTTTGGTTTTATATTTAGTATAAAATTTTTGAGATTTGGTAAAAAATTGCATATTTTTAGGAACACAACTTAAATTTTTAAAGTTTTCTAAACCGAAAAAAAATAAATATTTTCATAATAAAAAAAATTAAGTAGGATTTAAATTTTGTGATTTTGAGTATGTTGGGCCAGTTTAGTCTCAAAAATTTTTTTTAAACCTTTTAATAGCTCTAGAGCCTCATTTTATTGAGAAGAGTGTTGTACAAACATTTAATAATTGTGTATAAATTCTTAAACTATAGATAAAACCGAGTTGCTGTTCGAGTTGAATTTGTCTATATAAGAAACAAAATAAGGTTTAGACTTAATTATTACTTTGAAAATATGACAAAGAAAATTATTCATTTTACAATTTTAATTTGAACTTTATAAAAAAACCAAAGTATAGTCATAATTTTTCGTTATTTCTTTTGATTTATTTCAAATGAAATTCTTGAATTTTTGAAAATTCATTCTAGGAAAGATCGTCTTGTTACTTGTTTATTATCATTAGGGTTTGGCATCATGAACAATGTTCTTTAATTTTTTAAATAAATTAAAATTATTGAATTCCATTACTTACTAAAGAATTTTAAAATTTCAATTATAAATATTTTTTTATAGTTTGTACATTCTTAATTTTAAAAGAAAACATGACTTTAATTTTAAGGCTTTGCTCTTCCAAATATGCCGCGCCGCGTATAATATGCAAGATATGAAAAAAATCTTTACAGTATCCGAATTTTTAGTTTGCTAAAAGTAAACTCTTTAAAACATTTTATTCCATGATAACTGCATACTGTTATAAATAAACTTCATTTAAGACACTATTTCACGGAGTTAGTAGGCAAATCATCTGTACGTTTAGTCAACTTTGGGAAGTAAAAATTCTAAAATCACTGTCATAATTCAAAAAAAATTAAAATAAAATTTTATTTTTCTATACTCTTTTATTAAACAAACAATATAAAAAATTTATTCAAAAAAAAAAAAAGACAAAAATTAACAATATAATTAATTTATAACATAACTATATACACATACATATACACATATATAAAAACCAATACTATATTAAAATTTAATTTTACACAATTTTTGTTTTTTTTTTTAATAAATCGATTGATGATTATGTTTTTCTGAACGGAATGGACAACTTAATAAAATATGTCTACATGAATTTGCTTCAATTGGTGGTGCTAAATATTTATAATTTGACATTGATTCAGATCCTTGATGATCTAATATTCCATAATTTCCATATAATTCCATAACATTATGATATCCAGATGGACTAATATATTCTTCATTTAATTCAGATGCAGATCCTTTAATATTTTCAATATTTTCTTTATTATCATCTATTATACTTTCAGATTCATTTGGAAAATATGAAACACTTTGGGTTAAACTATCTGCTGGTGGTGCTGATACAAATGATTTTTTCTCTCTTACTAAATTATATGAAAAAGCTTTATCAGATTCTTCTAATAGAGCTTCTAAAACATTTGTATGACCAAGTATACCATCAAATGCTATTGTATTATAAATGCATAAAGCAAAAATTATTATTAAAGAAATTTTTTTTGACATGATTGGATCAGTTAAACACTTGTTAAACAAATGATACTATGTTCGTTAAAATCGATTGTAACACTTAAAATGTAAGTAGAAATTTTTTTTTAAATTAAAAAGTTTTAAAAAAATATTTTAATTTTTTTTGTGTCTTTTAAAATTTTTTTTTGCTGATTTCATGAATTTTTTTTTTGTTTGCTTCTTTAAATAAAGTCAATGAAAATTTTTATATTAAAATATGGTTTTTAGTGAAAAATGGTTTTTGTTTTGTTATCGACAGCGGATCAACTTTCAATGCTGAATAAAAGAATTCGAATAAAGAAAAAAAAAAATTTAAAAAAAAATACAAAAAAAAAATATTTAAAAAATTTTTTATTTTTTAAGAAAATAAAAATCTAATTATAATATTTCTAATGATCAAAGCCCACGCACCTTTGAAATAATCGTGAAAATGTTATTAAATTTGGAATTAAGTAGGATTTGATGTTTGACCAACTAAAATCATTATGGGAATTTAGGTTCCACTCAAATTTGGAGGTAAAATGGCTATGTGGGCTGAGTTTAATGGAAAATTTGCATCAGCATGTTGCTACCTACATAGATATTGAAGCTTGGTACCCACATAGATCTAAAATTTGTCCAGAAAGGGATTATGAAGAGAAGAAGGCAATTTAGTTTCATGAATATTTCAACTATTGAAATAAGTAAGTAAAAAATACATTAATTAATAAATTATTTTAATAAAAAAAATTTTCAAAAATAAATTTTAAGCTTTCCGGTTCATGAGTATATGGGGCGCTATGGAGTGAGAAAATTGGATGATATTTTCTTGTGAGACAAATCAAGTGTTTCATATCTAAGTAAAATTGTTAAGAAGAATAAGATCTAAGAGATTTTTTAAATTATTTTAAATTCAAAACTGTTTGAGATATAAAATTTATCATTCAATTAACAATTACTTATCTGTTTATTACTTATCTTAAAAAAATTCTAATCTAAAAATTTCAAATTTCAGAAAAATTATAAATCTTATATAACTGCAGTTATTCTAAGTATTTTATTTACTTTATTCAAGCGAAACTGTAATAAGTTTTCATTTAAATTTCCATTCAATTCTGATAGCTCGTAATGTTATCCTAAGTCGAGTAGTATTTTCAGAATACTTTATGATCATTGGTAAATTTTTATGTGAATTACAAAGTAATTCTTTATTTATTGCTTAAAATATCATAATTTTCTATTTGTAACTTATGACTTGCGGTGGCCTATTGAACTACAACAATCAAAGAGTTTACTGAATTCGGACACTATAATTTAATAAAAGCACATATGACTGTATCAACTTTTCACCATTAAATGCTCTTGCTCTAGAAGACTTGAATTTTAATTCACCATTCGCCATAAAAATAATTTTATTTTTGATTGTAACTTTATACAATTCGAATATTTTAATAATTTTCATATTAAATTGCAGATTCAGTAGGTTAAATATAAAAATTTCATTTAGTATTTCGTTATACAACAAAAATTATTGACCTACAAAAATAACAAACAGAATTTTGTTTTTTGTTTTTTTTCGCTGACAAAATTAAATAAGGCAATTTTCAAAAGTTTTATGAAATAAATACAAAACATGCGACTTTTTTTTCTCCTTATTTTTTATTATTTTATTTTTTTCATATAAATACTTGACTCAACTGTTTCTAACGAACAGTTAAATATTTTCTTTTGAATTTTTAAGACAATTTTAATTCAGTATTAAAAATGAAACACATTGCATTTGCGATAATAGCTACAATTATTGTTGCTACAACTGCAACAGAAACCGAATTAGAAGCTCAAGAGAGTATGATGCATCCATCACAAGCTATGGCTGCATCACAAGGTTTATTACAAAAACTTAAACCACCATCACCATCTCAACAACCACAACAACAACAACAACAAAGTATGTATAAACCACAACAACAACAAAACCAAGAACAACAACAGCAACCACCTAGCTCATATAAACCACAACAACAACAATATCAAGAACCAAATGATCAGCCATCAAAAACATATAAGCCGCAATCACAACAAGGATATCAAAAAATGCAACCAAGACAACAAGAAGAACAAACACAATCATATAAACAACAACCAGCCCAAGGTTATCAAAAAATGCAACCAAAACAACAAGTTGAACAAGTACAAGGTTATCAAAAATTATATCCGAAACAGCAAGTAGAACAGAAACAAAATTATCAAATGCAACAAGAGTCAGAACAGCCACAAAAGCAACAACAAGATAAATCATCATACAGAGCACAAAAAGAAGAAAGTGTTAAAGAAGCTTTCTTAAGACTTTTAAGGAAAATCGAAGATATGTCAGAAACAGAACAAGACGAAAAAGTTAGAATGAAAAAATGGATTTTAAATGAAATGGAAGATATGTCAGAAAATAATGAACAACAGGAGAATGTAAGAGAAAAAAAATCATACGGTAGTTCTGCTAAATGTGGTAAAGTAGTTGTTACTGGATGTGGTCCAATTGTACAAAAAGCAAAATGTAACAGTGGTCCATACAAAAGATCAACTCCTCAATATGAATATGTACAGCATATGCCAGTGGGATGGGATGAATTCGAACAGGGTCAATTTGAAGAATATTATTAAATTATTATTCTTTTCTTTTACATTTTGAAACCTTTTGTAATTGTGATTGAAAAAGAATAAAAATAAATTTTTTTTTCAAATTAGTTTTTAATATTCTAATTTATGATACAACTGAAAATTTAAGTGGTTTAATTTTATTTCAGGACTGAAAGGTTTCAGCTAATTATTAATTAAAAAGAAATAATATTTTGGATATTTTTAATTAAATTTTAAACCGAAATTAACCAATTCTGTAGTGAATTTTTTCAATTTTATTTTCTAGTTGAATTAAGAAACTCAAATGGTATTATATTCAAAATTCCACTATCATACATATGAACTATTTAGTAGTGTACTCATCTATATATTATTTGAGCAATATGATGAAAATGTGTTTGAATTTAAAATTATTATTTTAGTTTTTTTGAATGACTCTAAAAATTACAAAATTTTTCACTAAAAATTGTAGCTCTACATAAAAAAATATATGCTTTCCAAGTATGTCCTTTAGCCTTCCAATTTATTCAAAAAATAGCGTTGATTTTATATAGGTAAATAATATCATTTGCATGGGTTGAACACGAAAAATTATTTTTGAATTGCTGTTATTGTAAGAAGGTCAACAGTCATTCCTGAATTTAGTTTAAATAGTGGCTTTATTCTACTTACGGTTGTTTATGAAAAGTTTAAATATTGTAATTTTTTGAAGATTTTCGAGACATGACCGAATTAATTGTCGGGCTGTATAGTAGGAATTGCAAAAACTTATAGAACCGACTATATATACCATTAGGAATAGTATCTTCGTTATTTCATTCATTTATGAAAATATTTGAATACTAATTGATAAATGGATGGACAGACTTCCGTCAGAATTTATAAGCTAATTAAAAATATATGCTTATATTTCATATATGCATGTGTTTATTTCTTATTCTTCTCAAACGAAATGATAAATTAATCCTCCGGAAATTGATTCTCCTAAATGGAATGATATTTGTTTTGAACGAGTATAAAAAGAATACGATAATAACTTTTTCTCATAAATTTTTACTGTATAGAATAAAATACATGGTCGCAATCAAATATTTTCTGCAGAAATCTTCCTGCTATCGTTTTATATAATTGTTTTATACATTAATAATATACGACTAATATTTATAACAGTAAGAACTAAACGAATTTATCATTACTGAAATTTTTGATATCATCAAGTGATTTTCCCGTCGGTAAAGTGTTATCTTTGAGAAATATTGTTTTTTATCTGGATAACATTCACAACTATTATCTATTACCCATTAATATTTACAACACAATTGATGCCTTTTTAGTTTAACATTTTATCAAATTCACTATAATAAATTTTCTGGTCATATTAAATGCACGTACCACTGCAGATGAATATTACGGTTTCATCATTTTTTTTACAATTACATTCTATAAATTTCTTAATTATAAATACACACATAATTCACACAATTATTAGGGTTCAAGAAGAGTTCTATAATCAGAATTCGTGGCGCAACACTCTAGTATAATCGCAGTAAAATTAAAATATTTTTGTTTATTTTATTTGTACCCATTTTATTTGACCCAAATACAATCACTATGTTTTTTGTAAATTACTATATTAAAATAAATAATTAAAAAATTTTTTTCTTACAACACTTTTAAATAATTTTATGATTAGATCAGCTTAAACTTTGTTTACCCATAATAAAGAAAAAAAAAATTCAGAAAACGAAAAATTCTTCAAAAAATTAATTTTTATTTTATTTTCAATTCAAGCACAAAACATTCGCGATTTTATAGCAAAAATAAACTTAAAAAAATCATAGAGTAACCCAAGTTGGAAAATTTTATTTATAGTGCTTAAATTGAAAAATTTCATTTAATTTGAACGGAAATTAAACACCACTCTTGTAAATTAAACACCATTTTTCATTTAATTTCTCTTATTTGAGGTGAGGAAATTATATTACGGTCACGTTATTAATTCAACACGTTATAAATGTACCTAATAAAAAAATTGTTTATATTTTTTTCCCCTGTTTTTTTTTTTTAGATTTCCGGTCGCATCCAAGAGGACGAACAATATTTTGTACAACGCACAGATTTCATTAAAGGACAAAAAAAAATAAAATTATTCTGCTAAAAAATCAATAATAAATACAATTAAGAATGAAGAGAAATTTCAACTTGAAAACAATTATTAGTATCATTAGTACTATAATAATAATATTCAATTGTTCTAAAGTGAATGGAATAGCTGATACAAAAAAACATCATTCACTTATTGAACATAGATATCAAAATCCATATAGAATTTTATTACCAGAAAATTATGAACCATCTGAACAGGATCGTTTATATTTAGAAAGATTTAAAAGAGATTATTTAGAAAAAGGATATTCTTATCAAATTGATGATTTTAATCGTAGTCCATGTAAAAAAAAACATCTTGTTAAACGTAATTTAAAAGAATCAAAAATACAAATAAAACAAAAACCAGGTATTGTTAAAAAATCAAGTGCAAATTCTGATGATTTAGAAAGAGCTGAAAGTATATTAAGAGAAGATTATAAAAAGAATAAAGCCATCCAATATCCAATAATTTACAGTAATAATAATAATTGGAATAAAAAATCCGATACAAAATTAAGAATAAATCGTGATATTATGATGAATGTACAAAATGTAGATACAATGAGAAGAAAATTACTTCAATTTGATGAAAACGAATATAAAAATGATGATGAACCAATGAAATTTTCATTTTTATAAATTTTATTCCATTAATTTAATTTATTTTTATAAAAATTTTTGTGTGTGATTGCCCAAATTTAATACAATTAATTATATTTTTTTATATATTTTCATTAAATTATAAATAAATTATATTGTGTGTGATTATTTCAACTTACTTGGTACAGGAATTTCCCATTTTTTATACTACATGAGTTTGGAATATTATTGATTCACTTAACATTTTGATTAATTATTTGCATCTATTTGTAATTAAATTTCTAATTTCTCATTGATTCACAAAAATGTATGTACTATATATGTAAGTATTAATAGTTCGCATTAGTATTACAAATTTTAAAGTGACATAATGTAAAAGAATTATATTAAGAATTTTGCTAAAAAAAAAAAATCGGACCGAAAAAAACCAAATATTTTAAAATAATATTTTGAAAATTATTATGAGTCGAAAAATGGCTGTCAAAAATTTGTTTTTGATAATTTATATTTAAAATATTTTTTTTTTTTATGAGAACTATGATTGTTTAATTTTTTTCAAATTTGATTGAATAGAAATTAATTGAATACAAGAGAAAGATAGAAAATTGAAATTTTGTGTACAAATAGAAAATTAGAATGAAATTAGAAACTTGCATTACTAGAAAATTATTTACCCTCATTAAAATTTCTAGCTCCTCAAAGTTTCAAAAATGCCACATGTAAGCTATTTTATTGTATTAATATAAAATTGACAATTTTTTGACAAGGGGGTCGTGCAAAATTTTAAAAAATTTCAATTTTTTTGCCAAGGTAGGGGGTCGTGCAAAATTTTAAAAATTTTCAATTTTTTGACAAGGTAGGGGGTCGTGCAAAATTTCAAAAAATTTTCATTTTTTTTGACAAGGTAGGGGGTCGTGCAAAATTTTAAAAATTTTCAATTTTTTGACAAGGTAGGGGGTCGTGCAAAATTTTAAAAATTTTCAATTTTTTGACAAGGTAGGGGGTCGTGCAAAATTTTAAAAATTTTCAATTTTTTGACAAGGTAGGGGGTCGTGCAAAATTTTAAAAATTTTCAATTTTTTGACAAGGTAGGGGGTCGTGCAAAATTTTAAAAATTTTCAATTTTTTGACAAGGTAGGGGGTCGTGCAAAATTTTAAAAATTTTCAATTTTTTGACAAGGTAGGGGGTCGTGCAAAATTTTAAAAATTTTCAATTTTTTGACTAGGTAGGGGGTCGTGCAAAATTTTAAAAATTTTCAATTTTTTGACAAGGTAGGGGGTCGTGCAAAATTTTAAAAATTTTCAATTTTTTGACAAGGTAGGGGGTCGTGCAAAATTTTAAAAATTTTCAATTTTTTGACTAGGTAGGGGGTCGTGCAAAATTTTAAAAATTTTCAATTTTTTGACAAGGTAGGGGGTCGTGCAAAATTTTAAAAATTTTCAATTTTTTGACAAGGTAGGGGGTCGTGCAAAATTTTAAAAATTTTCAATTTTTTGACAAGGTAGGGGGTCGTGCAAAATTTTAAAAATTTTCAATTTTTTGACAAGGTAGGGGGTCGTGCAAAATTTTAAAAATTTTCAATTTTTTGACAAGGTAGGGGGTCGTGCAAAATTTTAAAAATTTTCAATTTTTTGACAAGGTAGGGGGTCGTGCAAAATTTTAAAAATTTTCAATTTTTTGACTAGGTAGGGGGTCGTGCAAAATTTTAAAAATTTTCAATTTTTTGACAAGGTAGGGGGTCGTGCAAAATTTTAAAAATTTTCAATTTTTTGACAAGGTAGGGGGTCGTGCAAAATTTTAAAAATTTTCAATTTTTTGACTAGGTAGGGGGTCGTGCAAAATTTTAAAAATTTTCAATTTTTTGACTAGGTAGGGGGTCGTGCAAAATTTTAAAAATTTTCAATTTTTTGACAAGGTAGGGGGTCGTGCAAAATTTCAAAAAATTTTCATTTTTTTTGACAAGGTAGGGGGTCGTGCAAAATTTTAAAAATTTTCAATTTTTTGACAAGGTAGGGGGTCGTGCAAAATTTCAAAAAATTTTCAATTTTTTGACAAGGTAGGGGGTCGTGCAAAATTTTAAAAATTTTCAATTTTTTGACAAGGTAGGGGGGTCGTGCAAAATTTTAAAAATTTTCAATTTTTTGACAAGGTAGGGGGTCGTGCAAAATTTTAAAAATTTTCAATTTTTTGACAAGGTAGGGGGTCGTGCAAAATTTTAAAAATTTTCAATTTTTTGACAAGGTAGGGGGTCGTGCAAAATTTTAAAAATTTTCAATTTTTTGACAAGGTAGGGGGTCGTGCAAAATTTTAAAAATTTTCAATTTTTTGACAAGGTAGGGGGTCGTGCAAAATTTT